CTCCCCCAGGTGTGTGCTGCGGTTCCTGGGTGAGTATGGAGTTACTGAGTTGGCAGATTTGCCCTCGGCCTTTTCTTCCCAGCATTTATGTCTCAGAAGGGCTACCCTTCTCTCTCTGCATATTGTTTTCAGCCTAGAGCAATCCATTACCAGCAGAAATCTTTCGCCAGAGATACACAAAGACAAGACAGGTTTATTTTTTATATAAACTGTGACTGTTGCCAAAAGCACAAACATATCTTGTGTAGGCAGGACATCCAGATTTCATTCCTGCATTAAGACCAAATCTATGCAACCAGGATCTTTAGACTACTTTTGGATTTTTTTTTCTCCTATTAACTGAGAAGGTCCAGACTTCTGGTATTTCAGATCGGCTTTGTAACAGCAGGGGGCTCTGCTGTGCATAGTAACAGGATCTAGTAAATAAATTAATGAACATAAAAGAGAACTAACAGATCTGTTACAATGCCCTGCCTTTCTTCATAGAGCAGATAAACTAGTCAGTGATGGCTGTTCAACTATTCTAATAAAATCATAAATATTTTCCTTATTGAATGCAAACAGGATAGTATTTGTAGCTAAACAACTGATTATTCATATTTACAAGATATCTTTTTATTGTTATTCTAATTATTAGCCCATTACTTTTGCATTCTGGAGGTCCAAGACTATTCATTTTGCATCATTTCAGATGTTTAATTCAGCAATGAGGAAAAGCAAACAAATACCTTTTTAAGGGTACAGGCACCTCCTGTCTCAGAGAGTCAATAAGTGGCACTTTGCAAGAACAGGCCTCTTTTAAAATGTTCTTACTACTGATGTAAAATAGAAAACAAGAAAGTTATGCCGTATCTTTATTTTATGAAAGCTGCACATTACTTTTACAGTGTCTGTTCCTGCTGGCTTCTCTTCTTTGTTCTTGTCAGAACACAGTCCAGCTGATCTGAATGGTCTGAGATCTTAGGGTTCTTCCCCCCCTCACTGGAACACAGTACATGTGCCTGCCACACCGGCTTCTTGCACACTACAGGATTTTGGTATGCAATTATTGTTTGCAAGAAAAAAATCCCAAAGCAGATACAATTTACATATCTAATCCACATCAGGTGGGGAGAGAGAAGCACTTCCTAAATTACATTACTGCTCACCATGACATTTGGAAGCATTTTGCTGTCCTGCAGTAGAGTTTTCTGCGAGCTCTCCTGTGAGGGCTGACAGCTCAGACTTGCCTAAGAGCTGACAACATGCAGCAAATTGAAAAATTCCTAAAATGCTGTGCAACCTTGTGTCAGGTTAAAAAATGCATCCTGATTAAGTAACGACCTTCTAATTAGTCAGCTATATTCAGTGGGGGGTTTTATTCTTTCCACGGTTAAAGTACTATCTAGAGAATTATTAAGTTATATCTAAAGCACATGGGTATTCATACCAAGAACAGAATGTACCAGAGGAAAATTCCAAATAAGAAGAACAATAATATTTGCAATGTTACCATGAATGAATTGAGTTGTAGTGTTACAGAATACATCTGGCAAGTGGAAAGTACTACATAAAAATAAATTCATTATACAGGCAAAGCTTTAATCCTATTTTCTGTGATTCTGGTTTTGGCAAATTTGGTAATCACAACAGTTTGCAATACTTAATACTGTTACTATGTTTCTCATCAGTAGATTTCAGGGCAGCTGAAACATGACTACCCTCTGAGTTCTTTCATAAGAAATCAAAGTTGTGTCTAAAAAACCCTTTGAGATACCATTAAGCTGAACTTGGGCAAGAACAACATTTAAGTGGTACAAATGTTGGCTTTGTTATCCAAGTACAGCTAAGTATTGAGCATTTCCCAATTACAAAGAATCTTATTGTTTAAAATGTTGTTAGGCATTGATGTCTTTTGGTTTCAGGAAGTGCAGTTCAGGTTGACTCCCTGGCTCAAGTTCAGATTTTGCACATCAGTGCTTGCCTGGAAAAAAAGACCATGCCACCAGTGTAAGTGTGCCAGCTTGTACCAACACAATGGAACTGCTGGCATTTCAGACAACTGTGACAAAGTTATGAGCCAGTTCAAGGTGTTACTGCATCACCAAGCTTCCCAGGTGGTCAAGGCCCACTCTTGCTTTACAGCCACTGCAGGACTCTCCCACCTCTGCAACTGAAGCTCAGCATCACTTGTCCACCACAATCCACAGTGACAGAGTCTAATCAAAGTGAAGCCCCTTCAGTAAACAACACACCACATTTTCTTAAGAAGACATATCTTTTCTATACCTCTACTGTGCTTCTTTTTGTAATAAAAAAGAAGTATTTTCATTTCTAGCACCTGTATTAGACCAATGTGCTGCATTAGTAGTGGGACTTGAACTTTTCCATTTAACTGCTTGCTTTTACTTGATTCTTAAAGCAAATTTGTCTATCACAGTGACCATGTACATTCCATATCATTTATAAGAATGAGTTACTGAAACCCACTAGGGGTAAAAAAATCGGTGGGAAGATCACTCTGTAATCAAGCTGAAACACAACCTACAAAATTAGCCTTATGGCTCAGGTCAACAGTATTTTTTTTTAAATATTTATTTTCTTTGAAAAGTAAGCCTGATTCAGATGTGATTTATAAAATATGATTTTATTAAAACACTAATAATGTGAAATATTTCATGCCAGTAGCAGCTACCATTCCATTAAAAATTAGTCCAACATTGTACTCTCACATATCAGGCCTTTTTCATGGGAAACTTCATTAAAATCCACATGTTGTTTAGAACAGTTTGGTTTCAACAACATTTTTCACCTTCTGATCAGCTGTATTTTAAATGTGTATAAAAATGCTTTGCAAAATAAAATTACATTATTTTCATAAAGCACCTTTTTGATTAATTCTTATGAAGATAATTCAATAGGCCATTTTACACACTTCATTTTGAGTTTGTTTTCTGGGCAGACAATTGAGCTTTCATTTGTATCCTGAGAGAATGAGATCTGGCAAACATTAAGATAGGAAGTCACTGAACTGACACTTTTTCCACTGACTGCATTGAGCTTTGGACCAGATCTTAAAGATCCATGTTCAGTTTGAAGAACAGTAGAAACAGTAATTTCTCTGAAAAGGCTCCTTATATCCTGAACTGCTACCATCAGCAGTATTCCACAGAAAATAATGATCCTACATACTCCTACAACACAGAATACAGAAACAGCTTGCACTTTTTGCCTAAAAAACCCATAGTTTTTGCAATGTGGTTTTTATTTACTTAGTGTCCTCAAATATTCCTAAATATAATTAACAGCACTTTGCCATTTTAAGCTATTGAGTAGTTTTCTAGCCAATGTCTTTATTTAAATGAAACAGCATAAGACAAATGAATGCTTAGTTACCACTGCCATTATTGTAATAATGGGGTTTAAAGCATGAAACTATTCATGACGAGAGGCTTGCTCAAGATCTGTCAAAATGGAAATGTGACAGTAGCTGCTAGTCTGTTCATCAAGGTTTTTTTTCCCCAACTCTCTATCTACCTTTCTATGTATTTATGCATTTGTTGTTGTTCTGTATCTCCAGCTCCTCACCATCAATATGAAATTCATTATTTTAACTTCTTATGACTGCAAGAAAACTATCCTATGTCTTTCTGACCAAAGATGGAATGTAACATGGGGATCAAGGAACTGATCTCAGTAAGCAGTACTTTCCACCCTCTTTGTCTGGCTTGTCTAAAACTTGTGTCTATATGATTGTATAGGATACATAAACTGCCTGTTGATCAGGCCAATCGATCACCACAGGCCAACCTGCAGAAGCTGAAGTCTCCTCTGAAGGGTGAAGCACTTGCCTGCACTTAGGCATGCTATCTGCAGTTCAGCTCAGAGGGCAGAGGGGCAGAGAGAAAGGAAGACTTCCGTAAGCAAGTACAAAAAGACACTTCATCCTGAAAAGGTCATTGCACAAGATTTTCACAAACATTCACTAACTGATTTCACAGCTCATGAAGTAAACTTTCCTCAAATGTGGATATGCCAAGCCACAGCAGGAGGAAGTCACGTGCAGAAAAACATGGTCAGACTGACACTGGGGTGGAATGCTGACTCTCCTGAACTTTGCTGCTAACTTCAAAAAGCAAGAAAATAGGCACAACTTTGTCTTAACATTGCAAGTTCATCATACATCATTTGCTTTCCTGAAGTTATCTGTACTTAAATGTTTGGAGATCAATTTATCATAATTAAAGCAACAGATACTTTTTCTGTAACATAAACACCATTTCATACTATTTTTAACATGGTAAGGCTTTTTTCATCCTCTTATTTCCTGTGTGCATTTCTAAACTTAGGAAATTAATGAGACTACTGAATTTCAAGTTTGTGTATACTCATTAAAATGTTTAACGAAAAACATATGCTTTGGCTTGTGCAATACACACAATAAGATACCTTTAAGTATGCCTATAAGATACAAGATATATACATAAGATATATATGTGTGTGTGTATATGTATATATACACACTATAAGATACCTTTAAGATACCTATACCCTTATTCCAATGCTGCCATGCCATGTTGGATGCTAACAAGCAGCCTCACAGAATTGGCAAACAAGGTCTGAGGTCTTGCTGGGATTGTCAGCTAGTTGCAGAAATAGAGATGTCAGGCAGCCTGTACCTTTCCTCCCTGGGGGATCAATCAGAGATACTGTGGCAGTGCTGGCTGGAAACTTTCTGCTACGCCAGCTGTTTCTGGGGGGCAGACTGGGGGTGGAACAGCAGCATGTTGACCAAGAGCAAAGGTTAATTTGTGTCCTTCCCCTAGCAAAACTAGTGGTTCCAAAAATCTGTTGGACTTTGATTTTAATAGGCCGGATGGCATTTCAACCTTGATTTCTAACTAACCCTGAAACACTCACACTCAAATCAAGATGTCTGATAAGTTTACTTGTACATAGTGAATGTAAATATTAGATTTTAAAATAAATTGAACATTGCAGGTGATCTGATTAAAACTTACTGCAAAATTGGTTCTGATGCTGTTTTTGTGGCAAATTTGTCCTTGACAAGTCTTAACACAGCTTGAACTCTTTTCTTCTGAACTACATTTTACCAAAGCTGGAAAAAAAGCACCATGAAACTGCTTGTTAATTATCAGTCAAAAAGCCAGATTCAGGTAACACTCAGCTTTCCAGATACATGATTGATAACAACTTTAAAGGAAAAATGTCAAAATGTACAAGCTCCAAAACTTGGCATTTCAAAGTTAAAAATATTTAAAATATGGGGGGAAAAAAGTCGGTGTGTATGGAGATGCAGACTGCAGTGTCCTGAGACAATGCTGGGAGCCGCAAATAAACAAATATGTACTCCTTGGAACTTGAATTTCTAACATTTAGTGCTCTACTGAGTCATTTTGAGAGCAGGATTTTGGAGGGAGGATAAGCAGGGCCAGACACAATCCACTCAGCTGTCACAAGCTGAGCAGTAACCATGAAAATGCTCTCAGTAGAACCAGCACCATGACTGGTGCCACAAAACTTAATTCCAGAGGAAAACAAATTAGTTTGCTGCACCATCTCAAGGCCATCCCTTCAGCACAAAAAAACCATCCCATTTCTACTATTTTGTTAACTATGAATTGACTACAATTCTCAAGTAGCAATTATTTTTAAATTACCACAGAGCAAGAGCTAAAATGTTGTACTTGAATATAGACTGGAAAAAATAATTTATGAATGCTATGGCAAGCAGAAGCTTGTTAGAAAGAAGAAACAGTAAAGACATGGAAAAGACTCAAGATATAATTGTATGGGACAGAACAAAATCAAATGCAGCAAAAGCAGCTTGCTTTCTCTTCATCAGCCAAGGAAAGATGACAAAACACACAGAACAGAACCCAGGTCTCAAACCATCTAATTTAGTCACCTAAAATAGGAAGCTGGTTTTCTTCTCTAAGTCAGTGGAGAAAGAGAAAGTGAAAAGAAGGTTCTACAAAAACAATCCATAAATAAGGCTGATTTACAGCCCAGGCTCTTACTCAGAGAGGTAACATTAGGTCATAGGAATATTCCTGAGTGAATGATCCCTTATTCCACTCCATGAGCACAAACAAGGAGTCTCTTCTGGGCACCCAGGACGGGTAAAATGGGTCTTCTCCTCCCCAGGAGCAGCAAGGAGAGAGCATTTACCTCTCTCTCCCCTGGATTCATGAGGCTGTTGTATTTCATGGCACTTCTCCAGTCATTTGCTGTGAAAGCTCAACTGAACCCGAGAGATAAAAATATTTTCATCATCTGGAAACAATGAGGAAACTGTGAAAGAGGGCCGACTTGTTCCTGCGGGAGGGAAGGATCTGGAGAAAATGCTTCCCTGGCAGGGTGACAGGGTGAGGGATGAGGCTGCTGGCGCTCAGCCTCGCTGCCTGGTCCTACCCCTGACTCGCCCTCGAGCAGCCCCGCAACAGGTGACCCCTCGGCAGCCCCGCACACTCAGCCTCACGCTGCGTTTCATCGCGAAGCCGGGAAAGGACAGAAGGAGGCTTGTTTTGGTTTGTTTTTGTTGTGGTTTTTTCTCCCAACAGACAGAGGAGAATGAGCGGGGCAATACTGCATTTCTCAAGCCGCAGAGCAGAGAACAAATCCAGACAAAGAGA